TCGAGAAAGGCTCGGGACAGCTCAGAGTCGACAAAAGAGTTATGCCGATAACCGACGGAGAGATCTTGAATTTGAGGAAGGTGATCGAGTTTTCCTAAAGATCTCACCAATAAAAGGCATTATGAGATTCGACAAGAAAGGAAAGTTGAGACCACGTTACATCGAACCATTTGAAATCCTAGAAAGAATCAGATGTGTCGCTTATAGACTTGCTTTACCGTCCGAATTAGCAAACGTCTATAATGTCTTCCTTGTATCATCATTACGAAAATATCAGCCCGACCCATCCCATATATTGAAATATGAACCTTTACCGATCAAGAAGTACATATCCTTCATTGAGCAGCCAATTTTGATACTGGATAGAAGGGTACAAGTGTTGCGCAACAAGGAGATTCATTTGGTTCGTATATTATGGCAGTACCATTCAAGAGAGGAGTAGACTTGAGAACGAGAAGACAATATCAGATAAAACTATCCCTATCTTTTTCAGTAATTAGGTACACAAATTTAGAGGATTAAATTTCTTTAAAGGGGGAAGAATGTAATAATCCTAAACTTTCAAAAAAATAAAAATAAATAAATAAATAATTTTTTATAGTGTGATGGTCTATATAAGTATTGTGGTCCTTAGGGACTATCACCACTTTTGTTAACTTTTCCTTTCCTTTACCACGTCCTTTAGTGAACGTGGGCTTTAAACGTTTCATGTGTAATATAATTGTCATACCTCATGTATGAGGTGTAACTTAATAAAATAATGTAATAAGGTATCTTAAGAATTTAAATAGGAGAGGCGAGGACTCCCACCCTAGAAAATTTCCGATATCTTTCTCTCTTTTAGTCGAAACGCAGTGGGCTCTTTTTCTCTTTAGTCAAAATTTTTATCGAAAGCTCGCTCTCAAATATTTTAGGTAAGTGACTTCATTATCTTGAAAAATAATCCGTTCTTTTTAAAAATTAAATGAAATAATTACTTCTGCTTATTTTCATGAATTTTAGGCACAATAAATGTTATGCGCAAGTGACTTCATTATTTTGAGAAATAATATTTTTAATTAAATTGTGATATTTTATCTATGTTATAAATTTTAAATGCTGTAAATTTTTAGAAATAAATTTATTTATTTTTCTTGTCTATTGTTAGAAAATTTGAAATACTGTAAAATTATTAGAAATAAATGTGATATTTCTGCTTTTAGTAAAATTGTGAGATTTCTTTCTAGTGTTTTTTTTTTAATATTTAGACATTGTAAATTTCATGTGCGAATGACTGCCTTATTATTTGCAATTGATTATAGCATTGTATGTGAAATATTTATTTGCGAATTGATATCCCATAAATTGTGATAATTCCGTATTTTTGAATTTCTATAAGAGTTTTTCTATACATATTAGATTGGCAATTATGCTAGGATGTCTTTACGAACTGCTACCTTTCTAAATCGGAGCCCAAAATATTTGACTGGTTATTTTTTAAATGTTATTAAAAGTGACCGTTATTAATAGTTTCAGTGAAATTCATATTAATAATTTTAGTGATATGTTAAGTACATGATATTGCTGCTTTCGAATGCTTAAAGAAATTTAGAAATACTATAAGTATGTAAGTGGACTTATCCGGTTCGCCGGTGAGGTATAAGTGGACCTATCCGGTACGCCGGTAGGGGTTAAGTGGACTCATCCGGTAAGCCGATAATTTATAAGTGGACCTGTAGGGATTAAGTGGACCTATCTGGGACGTCGATAGGGATTAAGTGGACCCATCAGGACGCAGATGGGGTATATAGGTGACCTACTTGGGATGCCAGTAGGGTAATTTGTGAAATCCTTTGAATTATGCACTGCTGTTAAAATGTTATATGCATTTAAATTATTCAGATTATACTTAATTATGCATTTTTTGAAAGTGAAACTGTTAATGCATTTCTGTTAATAGATATCCTTTTTGAAAATATTGATATCTTTCAACTATGATTATTTTTCGAATTATGATAATCACTTACTGAGTAGCCAAACTCATCAAATTATGGTAAACATTTTTTTCAGGATAACTGCGGTTTCATTTTGAGTGCTCGTTAGGATCAACTCTGAAAGATATTGTAGTTGTGCTTAAACTTTATTTTGTTACTTTGTAAGAATTCACCACTGTAAATTTGTCTTATCAAGAGATGTATATATGTTTTGACTATCACATCTCAAGAGTATCAGTATTGTAAATTCTCGGGGCATGACAGCAACCCTTGTCAAACGCATGCCTACAATTAGGCAACCTTCTTTCCCTTTCCCCAAATTGGAGGTCGTGAAAAAACCAAGTTAAGGTTATCGAAATGGGCCAGTCATAGAATTCCATCTTGCAAAAGGTTCGTCATTCAACACATTCAATCTTCAAGGACATGTATGTGATTATTCGAAAGAGTTAGACGACACTACTCCTCACTGGCCATGGATCTGACTCCTTCATTTTCTAAAACACTAAGATGAAGGAACTCTTTGGTTTATGATATTTAACAAAACACAAGTAAAAACTCTCAATAAACTAAAATGCGAAAGTTTAAGAGTTGAAAATATACAAACAAATCTCTTCATAAACTTTTAAAGAGACAAATTATGGTTTCCCTGGTGAGAAAGATCAAATAACTTTTAGTTTGGATTCCCACAAGCATTCATGCATATTAGTGGGGGTAAGCCCAAAAGGACATGGTTGGGAGTAATAAGAAAATATATGGGGACTTATGATCCTGCAGCGGAAAATAATAGCAAATATTGGTGTTTAGAGGATGATGATGATGATGATGATGATGATGATTCATGCATGTCAGTAGGCTTAAAAAATGCATTGTTTGCCAGAGGGATGAGTGCTATTTTCAGTTTTTAGTCACCAAATATTGACATTTTGGATGCATGCAGGTGATCAACTCAACTATCAATGCTTTAAACCAATGGTTTAAAAAACGGATTGGTGACCC